GCGCCGCGTCCCGCCGCACTGCCCTTCCAACCGCCCCATGGAAGCGGGCGCTGCCCTGTGGGCCCCGGGGAGCCTCTGGGCGAGAAACAGGCAAGATGCCCGCCCGCTGCCTGCCCTTTTCTAGCCGACACGAGCAAACGTGCCTCGCGCTGCTGCCTGATCATCGGCACGGGCTGACTTCCCAGGAACCGCGGCCGCCAGGGAATCCCCTGCGGAGAAGCTGCGGCCTCCCCGAGACMCCCGAACAACCCGGGGAAACACAGAAAGTTACTCAGATGGGAAAATGCTTTCCGTATTCTATACCTTGCCTAGTTACAAACGCATATATATTATATATAGTTATGTAGTTTGCATGTATGTTCATATTGGGAGTTTTTTAAACTGAGGATGAATCTCTTYAACTTTATGAAAGCTTTACTGTAATAAAATTACTTCCAAAGAATAAGTTTTGCTACAGCAGAGTTGTGATTTTTTGTGTTTTATTTTAAGTTACGTAATCCATCAGTGGTTTTAAGATGGAAGAGGGCAACTGTATGCCGAATGTTGTGCAGGAGCAGGGAAAAAAATCAGRTTTTGAAAACTTTCATTTGTATTTTCACTTTTAAATATTGTTTGCTAAACATCTTTCTGTAAGCCAAGTAAAATCAGAAAGGCTTTTTAAAGTGAGAATCAGAGTGAGAAGAGCAGGAAGCTGAAAGATGCAGGTGCAAAAGCAAAGTAGATGTTTTCAATGATAAAAGATTTTCTAAAGCCAGCACCCAGGGCTGCAGTCCTCAGTCAAAGAGCCTGTTTTCTAAATAGTGGCCATGAGAAGCAGTGTCCACATCCGCCCTTAGTTTCTCTGGGACACTCAGCAGGTGTGAACCTCAGGCCAGGAGCTGGGTCCCTAACTCATCATTTGCTTTGCACCTGTGACCATTTTACCACAAAAGGGCTATGCAAAAAGGAAGAAGTCACTGCAGGACAGCTTGCCAAGCTAGGCCAGAAACACTGATTCACCTAGATTTGCCACAATTAAATTGCTCTAAATCTGACTGCTGTTGCTCACAGCAGTGGTTGTTTTRAGCAGGCCACGTAGGCTAGTTTGTCTTTTAGAATATTTTGCACTCGGATAGTATTCTTGTGKCACATTTTAAAAGTTTATTAGTGACTGGTTGCATTTAAAAGGCAAAACAGCAATTGCAAGCAACCAATGCATTTTTTTTTCTAGCCAAGAGGATGTTTCTCTTACCAGTGCTTTAATTAGTGCTTGAAAAGCATTCATGTTTTTAAATGACTTTTTTTTTAGCTGTCATTTTTCTGTAAATTTGTTTTTGGGCATTGCACATTTTTTTTTTCTGAAATACTGTTACAAACTAGAAAGAAATCTACTGCCTGTAAGGAATACATAAACTTCTAAAAGTCCAATCTACAACGTGTTATCAACACTTTATACTTACTATTTCAATGGTTGCCTTGTAACCATATAGTTGAACCTTGTTAATAAATTACCAGATATTGTGAAACCTCAAATACCTTTGACCAAAATTGTAGCCAACCTGCTAGAAATCCCGCTGTTCGGTCAAGTTGTACTGAATAYTCTCCTTTGCTGTAAGAATAGGCAAAATTGTGTCTTACCTCAAAGGGAAGGAAGGAGTGATCACCATCAGACTTGTCACCTACTCTCTGCCGCTCTTGCCCTGAACAATTGCACTGGAGTCTTAATTAAAAATTAATACCCTGGAGTTAAAAGGAGATGGGCAATTGCACACTGACCTTCTCTGGCTTCTCTAAAGAGGGACGTACTGTTTAGCCTGGTTCCAGAGGAGAGGAGCTGCTCTCGCTGCAGTGCCTTCATGCACATCAGTGTGTGCGTGTCTGCCCTCTCACATGTCTCTCTACGTCCTCTCACGTGTTTTTTTTTGACTCTTTGGCCAATCTCAGTCAACTCAACAGMGAACTGAAGTTTTGACAGGCTACTGTGAATTGGCTAATCACCTAGGAGGGGAGGCCCTGAGTTARTGCCCCTGAAGGTGAAAAGAGCTCACTCATTATTTAGCTGAGAATCCACCCAGGAGAAGAGCACTCTACACTGTACCAGGGCACAAAGAGCTTCAAACAGAGCTTGTTAGATGTGGGGGAGCTGGACTGCAAGATATAAGCTGATAGGAAACCTGGTTTCATTAGCTYGGCTCTATGTAGAACTGTCTGTTTATTTATGAATTGTGTTGATAGGGTGCAGTGCTGCGATTTAAGCTAAGCACAAGTGGTCGCTGATGTCATGGTAGTTAAAAAGAAAAAATGCCCCTGCTGGTCCTGTCCCTTTTCATCTCGCTGGGGAGTTCAAGGTCGTTATCAAAAGATATTTATGCAAGCTATGCTAATTGCTTTGGCCAAGGTGCACGATTCAATTGCCCTGACACAGGAGATGGCAGCTGGCAGTCCAGTCCAAAAGGGCTTCCGTGTGTGGTGCTGACAACAACAGGAATCACCCTGCGAGATCCCAGGAGCAGTGACTGCCCAACGCTGCCTGATGCCTTCCTGACGAGCAAGGGCCTGGGAACGGCCTCCAGGCAGGATGCTGGGAGGCCGCTGTGTGTAGTCAGGAATAAATATCTCATAAGAGCCTAAGAAAGTGTGTGTGTGTGTGTGTGTGTGTGTACACATAAATATATAAACAATTTTTCTTGTATATATTGTACATTATGGATATAGTCCTTGGAAGACCATCAGAACTTTCCACAAATACATGTGCCTGTGTGCCTGTGTATTTGACATCACCCAATTAATTTTCTTCTCTCTGTTTCTTCTCTCTGACCTTTCCTTTCTGCCTCCCTAAGCCATTTCTGAGTATATTTAAGTATTTTAAGGGGTTTTACAGTTCCCACCTGCATGGAGCAGAGTGCCCCTTCCTGACCTGTGCATCTCTGTTGCTCCTGGCCACTGCATGGAGCTTACCAAGGTGTGGGATGTGCTCAGCTCTGCCTCCTGCCCCAGCTCACCTCAGCGCTTGTCAAAAATTCCTCTTTGGATTTCAACTTCGTATCCCGGACACTAAGGCTGCATGCACATCAGCAGGAGCCTAACAGCCTCTCCTAGGAAAGACAGGATTAACTGGGGTCTGCAATAGCAGAAAATGGAAAAGTTGTGAAACTTTGGCAAGACAAGCAAAGCTGCGATAGACAAGTTTCCACCTTCTGCCTGAAAGCTGAGTAGTGGATGTCTTTCCTTATGCCTGAAGAAAACATGGTTTACATATCRAAGTTTTCAGCTGATATAAATGCAAAGATTGCCTTTAAATAGCTTTCTAAGTGGAATGATGCTTTTCCTCAGCTTCCTTTCATCTAAATGAAGTCTCAAATAGAAACTATTTTTTTAGCAATGGCAATTTAAATAAATGAAAAACTTGTCAACTTTCCGCATCTTTAACATTGTCCTTTGGCTTGCTGGTAGCAAGAGGCTTCTCTCTGTCTCTGTTGCAAACTTGTATGTGTCCTTCCRTAAGTCATTTCATCATTTAGCGGCTGCATTTCTCTGTCTGCAAACTAGAAAATGTTTAAGCTATAGCTACGTAAAAATATACATAYACATTGAAGAGCAAAATCACATAGCAAGACTTTATGAAAAACCTCCAAGTTACACACAAAAATTAAAAATATGCTTTTTTTCAGACAAACAACTGGAAGCCGCAAAACTATGTTTTAGAGGTTGCMAATCTGATTTTGTGAGATTAGGGAAATAGGCAGAGACAGAGCCTTACAGACACAGTCGTCACATCTAGTTGATCCCTGAGTGTGTAAGTTCACCTATTCAGATAATGTGACTGCCTAAATGTCAGTGGCTGGGTTGTGGCTAAATATATTATAGGATTCTGATGAAACCAGAAGAGTTAATGGGGAACAAACACTACTAGTAAGTTACTGGCTATTTGAACACACATGCACACTAATATATATCCACATACAACTTTTTAGCTTTGCACGTTGCTACAGATCCCTTGTTCTGCTTTTTCAGCACGGGATGTGTCTGCTAATACAAATGCCAATGTAGATCTTATTATTTTAATTGTTCTTTGCAGCAGGTGCTGGCTTTTAAGAAGGTGGTCCTATGTGATTCTGAGTTACATAAATAAAGTAAAATAAAATAAAATAAAATAAAATAAAATAAAATAAAATAAAATAAAATAAAATAAAATAAAATAAAATAAAATAAAATAAAATAAAATAAGCAGCAAGAGGGCAACCTTGCTGCCTTTTGGGCAGCTCTGGAGACCTCTTGCTCTTTAGTAGTACTAATGCTGCCACCTTGTGGGAATAAGCACTGTAGCAATGTCAAGGACAGGGTAAGCCCCTTACAGAGCAGGGAGTATTAAAAACAAATGTCAATAACAGTAACGACAATCTTTAAAAATGTTTGCATAGTCTTAATGTTATAATGTAGATGTTTTCTACCTAGGGAGATTATAGTATTCAATCTGTATTAGTGCGATTAAAGCAGTAGGTTATATGGGGAAGATGTGTTCAGCCTGGTCCAGAAAAAAAAAAAGACTTTGGACTTCCTGAATACTTACATTTTCATAGTGTTTTTCAGGAGAAGTAACAAAATTCATCTAAGTTCGTTGGAG